AAGAACAAAAATGAAAATAATGTCTATGAAGGAACTATCATGAGACTGGGAATGAATGGTTCATTCCTGAGCAAGTGTCTGTGTGCTGGTTTCCTCAGGAGTTGATCTGCAGTGTCAGCGCTGTTTCTTCAAGCCCATCCAAGACACAGAGAATTAGTTGTGGCAAAATGACAGAGGGCTCTGTGACTCCCAGGAAGGCAGAGGGCTGAGAAGAGTCTCTTGTGTAAAGTGGGGGAGGGGACTTGTTGAACACTCTTGTCTCTCCCCTGAGGTGTTTGACAGGAAGGCCTGTGGCCCCTGAACTCCAAGTCCCTCAGCGGTCTATTGCCCCATCACTGGCTGTGGTCATCTCTCAGGTCAGCAGCTGCTCAACCAGGCGAGGGACACAGAGAGGGCATTAGAGAGCTCCTGGGGTCCAGTTTTGTCCTCTTCCTCCCATGTCTCTAGTGTCTTCTGCAGCTTTCTTTTCTTTTTTTTTTTTTTTTTTTTTTGAACAAGGTCTATAGGGTCTCACTATGTAGATTGGACTCATAGTGATTCTCCTGTTTTCAGCCTCCCAAGTGCTGGGATTATAGGCCAGAGCCACCATGCCCAGTCTCAATTGCCACCTCACCACACCCCCGAGGGCAGCGGGGGATTGAACCCCAGCAGCTGTGCTCTGCCTAAGCAGGTGCTTTAGTAACCTGAGCTATCTGGCTGACCCCAGTGCTAATTCAAGGTGATGATCTGCCGATTTCCCTTCACAAAAAATTCTATCCTGATGATCACTTTCTTTTTATTTGTGAGGGAGAACCTGGAGCTGAAGCTCTCTGGACTTTAACCCTGAACCCAGAGGCTCTTCTCCATAGTGTACAGGGTGGAGGCATGGGACCCTCAGGCCCCCAGGGTCCTAGAACTAGAGCAGGTGCCTAGTAACTCCCATTTCTTGTCCTAAGAGTGGTAGACCTGGTGTTGAAAATTGCTTAGTACTTTAGAGGAGAATGGAGGAGACAAGGTAGACCCAGCACAGGACACTGGGGCCTGGGAGTCTACCTAGGAGCAGGTTGTGATGCCCAGGAGCCCAGGTGCTGTTTCCCCTTTCCACCCCATCAGAGCAGAGAGAAACGCAAAAGTCACCTAGAAGGAATTAAACATACAACAGGTCAGAAGGCTTGTGGACTCCTGGAAGGCTGAGGACAGAAGGGAAAGATCTCTCATCAGAGCCATGAGCGCACCCTCCCAGGCCTCCTGCTCCTCCACTGCCTGGGCTGTCACAGGGAGTTTTCTAAGTTATTATTGTGCCCCTTGTGTTTGCTGTTTATTTTCTCCTTTTTAAAAAGGTTTATTTTTATTAATAAATGTTTGCAATACATAATGATTAACTTCTTCATGAGGAGCTAGTACTCATATTCATATGCGCTGCTTTTATAAACAACTACCATAACTTTTACTTTGTTTAGTTTTATTAAAAATAAGCATACCTAAAGCTCTCATTTTCTTTAGGGAGAAAGAATAGAACAAGCCTCATGAAAGCCAAATACTCAGTGGGAAAGTGTCTTAACAGATAGCTTGGGATCAAGTTAAAGCTGAATGAAAGAACAACTGCCACAGTTGCCTGTCTCTTGCCTGTGGCACTGAGCAACATGATCAACTGGAGGGAAAAAAATAACTGCATAAAAGCCCTGTCGGGTGCCCAAAGTGACAGATCAATTAAGGCACCAGTACTACAGCGTCTTGCTTTGACCAACACAGAAGTTCCTGGAACATTAGGGTAAATGAAATAACCACAAACACACTAAGCGCCTTGGTATCTGAACAATATCGTGGTAAGGTATTTTGTGAATCGTCACTTGCACTTCAGTGACCCCACAGTTTTACTGATGTCTTCATGTAGGATAACAAAATATGGGTAACTCTGGTCATCCTGAAAAAGGACAAAACCCAGAGGGTCAGAGGAATTATCAAGACTTCTACTGATCTCTATTCCCAGTGCTACAACTGACTGGAGGGGCCTTCCCAAGTGAAGACTGAACACCACAGCTGCCAGTCAGCTCTTATGCCAAAAACTCCATCTAGCGCATCCTGGGTTGTTCCATGAAATAAATGTGTCTTGTTTATTATACTGTCACAGAACATTTCCAATTCATTGGGCCTTTCCCCTATTTTATTTCTCCCAAAGAGACTGGTTATGAAATCTCAGTATTAGTAGAATTTTGTATGTAATCTCAAGCACAGTTTTTATGAAAAACAAACAAACAAACAAAAAACAACTGAAAAGGATATGGTAACTTTTATCCTCTCAAATAGGTACTTGAATACATCCGGATGGATGCATACAAAGCCAAAAGTCAGCATAAAGCTCGACTGAGCTGACACCATCTGGGCAGGTGAGTTGTGATGCTAGAGTGGCTTGAAGAGGTTGAGGAGTCAGAATGGGGACCCTACCAAATGTCTGCAGATATGGAAGTAACAAAAAACAGGAAGTTTCAGTCTCTCGCACTGCATTCCATGCCTGCCCCGCCCTCAGGACGCTGAGCCAGAGATGGAGTGCAGGCATGGTGGTGCATGCCTGTAATCTCAGCACTAGGGAGTCAGAAAACAGGAGGGTCACTATGAATCTGAACTGGGTAGTAAGGCACTGCACAGACACACACACACACACACACACACACATACAAACAGAGGAAGAGAAGTCATTTTTATTTCTCTCCTTAAAAATGAGTGTGGCCAGCCAGATAGTTCAATGGATTAAAGCGCCTACTTAGGCAGACACAGTGGCCGGGGTTTCCATCCTTGTCCTGCCGTGTGTCCCCCCCCCCCCCCGGGGGTATGTTGAGAGGGTGATTGAGACTGGACATGGTGGTGCACACCTATAATCCCAGTGCTTGGGAGGCTGAAAAAGAGGGAGGATCATTACAAGTCCAATCTGTGTAGTGAGACCCTGTACTAAATACATTTAAAAAAAATAAAAAAGACTTATGAGTGATACAGCACTCATTCCAATCCTGAAGTGGACGTCTTTTAGATCCCAAGAGCTGGTTTCCTCAGTCAGTCAAGGGACAGTCTCAGGCCTGCCCCATCCAACGTGTCTCCGCAAGAGGATGCCCAAACTGTATGGTATGCAGAGCTGACATTGCTGGAGGGCCGTGTGGATAAGGCTTACCAGTGGACTTCATTTGATTGCTTTATGCACATTCATGGCATTCAAATCTGCCCCAAATTCTTGTCCTCCATACTTCATTCTCCTCCTATCATTTTCTGGATGGCAATAAAATCTCTCCATGTGTCCCCGAGCACCACTGGATGCACTCTGCCACCTTGGAGTACTTGTCCTCTTGTTTTGCCAATGGTGTGGCAAGACATTGTCATTACTTTCAACAATCCCTGCCACAGACCCAAGTGCCTCAGTACCTCAGAGAAAGTGCATACACATGTCAATGTCATTGTCTTGCTGAATGTATTTCTGCCGCTAATTTACCAGCTCAAACAAGAACTCAAGTGAAGCTTCCTTACTTTTATTCTGGAAGAACTCAGTGCTTAACCTACCACAGGTGTCCATAATGTACTGCAATATAAAGCTATTGTCTTGAAAAGGCCTGATACATACCCAGGATTTGGTCATGCACTTAGTACCAGCAAGGAAGATAAGAGCACTTTGGAAGGCCCAGCTATATTGTCTGCCTCCAATGGTTCTGGCATGAAGAGCCATCAGGACAGGAGGGCTGCCCTACACAACCTGACTCAGGGCCTATGGTTTCCTGTTCCCTATTTCCCTGTGGACGGTTAGCTTCAGAAGCTCCTCAGGGTCTAAAGCTCATCAGTTGGAGGATGAGAGACTTAAGGACAGAAGCCACATCACAGGGATCACGCATCTAGTGAGGAACCCACTGGAAAGCACAGCAGAATGCAGAAATTCACTACAGGCTAGCTCACTCCTAAAATGTTCTCCTTTAAGAGACTTTTTGCCCCTTGTGCTCCTCCTTTCAGGACAAGCACAGCTCACAGCCTCCTCTCCTCATTGGCTTTGCATGAGTCTGTGGCCCCGCCTCCCTCTGTGGTTTCATTTTTCTTCCCCTGAGGCAACTGACTGCCTCAGTTCCACAAGTGGCAGCCTTGGAAAGAACTAGCATCAGATAGGTGAGTGTATTCCTGAAAGGTGCAGGTTTCAGGCCTGTGGGCAGAGGGTGGAGCACGGCTGGGCGTCTGTGGGAGTTGGTGGGAGTGTAAAGAGTGTTTGCTGGCAGAAGTTCCCTGGTGTCTTCCTCAGAAAATGCTAGAGAACCTGTTGACAGCTCTCACAGTAAGGCTTCCTGGTTCCCCAGTGCTCTGTCCCCAGGAATAACCAGGTCTCTGTGCTTTCCAATGCTCTTTTCAGTTTTTTTTCCTTAAATTGAGAGAGAGGGCACAGAAAGAATAAACTAATTCTTTTGATTGTCTCACTTACATTTGTCATTTTCCTCGTTGGAGTCTCCATTGCACTTTATGAAGCTCCTCTTCCATAATATATAGATTGGGAGTTGGGATTAAGGTATAGTGCAGCCCAATTGTCTAAAAAGAATCTTCCACAGACTTTCCAAATGCCCACAAAGTAAAAAGAGATAATGCTGGTGCTAATTGTTCTTTAGAACAAGAAGGCATTTCCCACTGCCTTACTGATTTATGGTTCGTGTTACAAAATGCAAATCACACCCAGATTGATTGTTCTTGGTCAGGGTGTCCTATCAACACCAGCTAGAAGGGGCTATGGGGCCACGGACATGTGTCTAGCAAGTCAGAGAAACTGGGTTTTGAATTTTACTGTATGTATGAAGTTGCATTTAAATGTCCATACAGGTGACTCATGCATTTTCCACATTAAGAAGCCTTTCTGCTTATGCAGATAAGACTGCAGCATTTACTGAGGACAGTGGCACCCAGCTTCTGTTACACAGGCTCAGGGTCCCTGCATATCCAAACCTGTGGAAATTCTGTCTGGTTCATCTTCACCTCTAGGTCCACATTGGAGCCTCTCTAGAGGAGCCATGGCCTCAGCCGCTCCCCTGAAGAAGATTCAGGAGATCAGCACCTGCATGCTGTGCTCAAATTTGCTGGCTCATCCTGTGAGCCTTGACTGTGGGCACAGCTACTGCAACTTGTGTATGTGGGTCTTCTGTACCAAGGATCCATTGCTGAAGGAGTTCCTGTGTCCTCAGTGTAAATTCCCATTCAATAGAAACAGCTGGAAGCACAATAAGCATCTGGAAAGAATCATTGAGGTCTTTGAGCAGATGGAAAAGATGCAGTACAAGGCACAATGTAAGGCCCATGGGGAGAAGCTCCAGCTCCTGTGTGAACACGATGGCCAGCTCATCTGCTGGCGCTGTGAGCGGGAACCACTGCACCTAGGGCACAGCACAGTGCTGGTGGAGGACGTGTGCCAGGTCTACAAGGTGAGTGTGTGGCCAAGACCTCAGTAAGGACCCATCCTGCGCTGCTCCCAAGATCTGAGAGTTTTGATTCTGAAAGTAAGATTAGGACCCTGAAACAAGGCTTTCATGTGGTGTTCTACTAAATAATGGCTTGTGATGTATCTTTGCTGAATCCACTCCAAACTTATCCCAGTAGTTAGTAGACACCATTCTGTCCTCATCCTGAGTTTCACATGGACTTATTCCTGTTGTGGACCATGTTCAAGCAAACACCAGCACTGTGTCTAGTTCTCTTTATATAATTTGAGAAACCACAATGTGTAAGACTCTGCAGAAGTATCAGGATAAGAAGTGGAAGAGGACACATCAGCTGTGGGGATCTTAGTGTTCAGTAGAGACATAGAGCAGCAAGGTTACTGCTTGGAGTCCTGGGCTTGGGTGGCGATAGAGGCAGGAGAGTTTGGGACATCCCAGCAGTGACATCTGAAGGGCACATAAACTGAACCCTTGAATTATTTCTAGGTAGAAGGGCCTGACACATGGCAAGACACAGCCATAGGGGCTTCTGCCTGTCTGTGAGCAAACGATGGCACACTTGCAGACATAAGACAAGCAGGGAAGAAGCAAAGATCCAGGGCCCAAGACCTGAGAGCTAGCTCTGAGTGTAAATCCTAGAGAACAGTGTGCCATGAATGGGGAAAATTTCATTTGTGGATTGAAGGTCACTGGCGTTTAAACCATCATCCTGGTGTGAGAAAACACAGAAAATCTCAAGCAGTAAAAAGCAGATTATCGCTTATCAGAAAGGGAGCGAGACAACTGATGCAAATAAAAGTCCAGAATAGAAACAGATTTGGAAATAATAGTTGTGGAGGGTAAGTGGGACTTGGCTTCTCGGTGACTCCTGTGTCCCCTGAGAATTTAGAAAGTTTGGTCGTAGCTGGAGGTAAAGCAAGGGGCCAGCTGAGTTCTGCTGCCCAGTTTGGCCCTGCTACAGCTCAGAACTAGTGAGCATCCTAGTCGAGGCTCCTATGGAGGCTCTGTGACCTTCCTAAGGGCATGTCAGCCCTGACCACAGTTCAGTCACGCAGCCCTCCCTTCGACTCCATGGAGCTGCTAAGTGTAATAGGGACGGTCCCGTTTGAGTTTCTCTCCCATCAAGCAATAGCTCAAGAGCGGGTCAGGGTCATGGTTGTCAGCCTCTGAGGCAGGCAGCTGAGGTTGAAATCTTCATTTCTGACCCTTGCTAAGTGCACATTGTTGACTAAGTTATTTAATGTCTTCATGCCTTGGTTTCTGCATGTTCAAGTGTACACAGTAGACACTCCTCACTTCCTAACACATGTAAGTAAACTGACACATGTACAGCCTAGAACTGCATATGGCAAGCAGTGAGAGAGTGCAGTCTTGCTAAGGCAGGTCCAAGAAGCACCTTTCTGAGAGTGCTAGGGATTCATAAGTGTGCCTACTGGATTTACAGAAGATAGGAGCCAGTAGTTTATTTTTAAAAGTGAAGTGCCAAGTCATTGTATTTTAACACTTTTTGGAGTGCTGGTATTTCTCTTAGGTGTCCATTGATTTACTAATTTTAATAGACTTTCTTCACTCAATTTTCCCCTCAGGATAAACTTCAGAAAGCTGTGGCAAAACTGAGTGATATCCATACAGAATGTATGAATCAGAAAATATTCATGACAACCCAAATAACTGAGTGGCAGGTAAGAATCTGAAATCCTTGATCTCAAATTATTTTGCATTCTCTTACATAAAGCAGGGAATAATTAGGGTAAAGCACAAACCAAAAGGAGAAAATTTGTTTTTGTGCTGCTTTCCAAATAGGAGGTTTGATCATGAAATTTTGAACCTCCCAACTCATATTAACTAGGATTCCTGATAACTTATTCAGGAGAAGTAGACTTGTAGTGTCTACCTAAAAATAGCTTTTTGGCTTTGGCCTGGCACCTATATATTCTCATTCACAGACGTTAAACTGATTCCCTTGTTTCACTTACCAAGTACAAAGTGTAACTTTTCAGCCTTACAGGTGAAGAAACTGCCTCTCAGAGCACTGAGACAGGAGGTTTCCCAGGGCAGAACCATAAGTGGCCACCTTGAGTGATAAGGAGTTTAATAGCTATTAAGAGAACCTGGGCCTTCCACCTGCAGGCCAAAGGTTTCTAGACTTCCATGGCTTCTTCCCAGGCTTCACAACATCAGACACATATTGCTTTGTGGAATTATTTTTGTAATCTTTTAACAGGCAGTCCAAGAGCAGATGATGGCAAGCCATTCTGCCTGGTCCAGGAGCCTTTCTGCCCTCTGCCTCTTTTATGTAAGGAGGTTTAATCAGAGCTTCCAGGGGACATTCTAAAATTTCCCATTGCTGGAACCTTGAGCATTGTGCAACACTGAGTGTAACTACCACTTAAAGAAAGCCTTCCCATGCAACAGTTAAACAGTCACCACTTTCATAGGCAAAACTTCCAGTTTTTTCTAAATTGTATGGGTTCAATCAAAACATCATAGTCATTGAAGTGCTACAGGTCTTTCCAGAACACTCCTAAAATTTGCAATTATACGTCACCCCAAATGCAACTTAATGCTAATGAGATATATAATTTATTTTTGGTATCTTATACATAGGATTAATAAGGTGATTCCCAGGAGATACGTGAATATTTCTCAATAGGCAATGATAACACAAGACTATCTAGCTGGGGCCTCACACCTTCAAAAATCAGGGACTCTCCTACCATCCCAGGTGCTTAGAGAGACTTAAGAAATCCAAGTCAATCCTCGAGGGTCTGAGTGTCAGCAGGAAGTTTAGGACATTCTTCCAGGGTGAATGATTTATGTAAGAATTATAACACAGCAAGACAACATACTTTATTTGGTGTGTGTGGCAAAATAGACATAATGTACACTGTGGGAGAGTCCTCCAGGCTCTTGTCTTGGTCCAAGAAGTCAATTTATAATCCCAGAGATACGTTACTGGAATCTCACCAAGTTAATTCCAATCTACCACTCCCAGTACAACCCACAGCGAAAGTAAGACAGTAAAACATATTTATAATTATTAGGGAGCCAGGGGGCCCTAAGTCCAGCCACAAAGATGACTTTTCAGGACAAAGACACTGACCCAGGGTCTGCACCTGGGTTTTATTCAGCTGAGAAGGGGAAGTGATTTGAGGAAAAGAATTGGGGGAAATAGGTGAGTACCATGAGGTGGGCTAGGCAGGTGCCCTGCATTTACCACTGCCATATGCAGAGAGGATATGCAGAGAATGTAATTTGCATTATGCTGTTGAGATATTATCTAATGTTTCGGGGGTCTGGTGCTTTGGCTCTGATGTATAATCTTTCAAGCCCCAGGAAGTCATACCCTTTATCTCGAGGCTCGATCCCAGACAACATCATGGAACACTGGCTCTTTGTCGTGTCTCGACCCAGCTCATATTGGAGAGGAGCAGGTGTGGGTTATCAGGGAAACATGCATGCCATCTTCAAAAATTACCACCAGCACCTCAGCTAGACCAATATACATTGCTTAAGGCCAATTGAAAGGATAAAGAGAAGTCCTTAGCCAGCTCTGTATATATCAATACAAGGAAATAGGGTCAGGCTCAGCCAAAATGGAGACAGTCACTCTTCTTTCAAGGAGAGCTCCTCCACATACACTTTGGTCCTCCACATACACTTTACCACTGTTATTATTTTTTTTTTTATTTTTTTTTTTTTATTTATTTGAGAGAGAGAG